GCTGGGATTCTGGGAATGGCTGGGATTCTGGGAATGGCTGGGATTCTGGGAAGGACTCCTTGATTTGGGATGGGAATGGATGGGATGGGAATAGCTGGGATGGGAATGGCTGGGATTCTGGGAAGGACTCTTTGATTTGGGATGGGAATGGATGGGATGGGAATGGCTGGGATTCTGGGAATGGCTGGAATTCTGGGAATGAGTCCTTGATTTGGGATGGGAATGGCTGGGATGGGAATGGCTGGGATTCTGGGAAGAAGTCCTGGATTTGGGATGGGAATGGCTGGGATTCTGGGAATGAGTCCTCACCTCGTGTTGCACTTGAACCTTCCATTGGGGGTGATCATATAAATACTGGGGGGCTTGAACGGGAATTCTCGAGGGAATATTAATTTTCCGTGGTAATATCCACCTGCAAACCAGCCCAAAATGGGTTAAATGAGTTTAATTAAAAAGTCTCATCCCCAGTTCCAGGTCCTATCTTCAATTCCCCTGATTTATTCCTTCTCCCAAACTACCCAAAAATGGGTTAAATAAATTACACTTAATTAATAATTAATTCCCATCCCAATTCCCCTTGCTTTATTTCTTCTAAACTACCCATAAAATGGGCTAAATAAATTATATTTAATTAATAATTCCCACCCCAATTCCCAATTTCCCTGCTTTATTTCTTCTTCTACCCAAAAATGGGTCAAATAAATTTGAATCCCATATCACTCAGGACATTTCTGCTGTAAAAATGGGAATTTTTGGTATTATCTTTGTCATAAATTAGAGAATATTTCTGTAAAACATGAAGAAATTTGATATTTGCTTTCAGTTTAACCTAAATTTTATTTTATTAAAGCTCTTAATAAGAGAAAAACGATTGACAGCAGCACCTCAGTTTCTTCACCTCTTCCCCAGTTTTTAGTGGGATTACTTTGCCTTTTCCCACCCTCTGGAATTCCTGAATTTCCATGCCAACCCCCAGGTAGGGATTTACCTTCATATGGGGTCAGCTCAGGCCCTCGCACCACGTAGTGCCTGGAAAAGAGGGGAATGGAACACTGGGAATCCACAGAAACCCAAAAAAATTCAGGATCAGCCTCAGTTTCCCTCCCCGCCTGCCCCAGCTCCAGGAGAGGGAGTCGGAGCTGAAAGCCTGGGAAATTCCTTCTGTCCAGGAGTGAGGAATTCCCCCTGGGAATTCCAGCTGAATTCCAGGAGTGAGGAACAGCCCACCCCAATTCCAGGAGTGAGGAACAGCCCACCCCAGTTCCAGGAGTGAGGAACAGCCCACCCCAGTTCCAGGAGTGAGGAACAGCCCACCCCAATTCCCATCCCAGTTCCCAGGGGTGAGAGACAATCCATCCCAATTCCAACCCCAATTCCCAGGAGTAAGAAACAGCCCGCCCCAATTCCCACCCCAATTCCCATTCCCAATTCCGAATTCCCACCCCAATTCCCATTCCCATTTCCCAATCTCCACCATTCCAGGATGTTGGAGGGCAAGGGCTCAGCGCAGATGTAAGGCACGGGATCCTTTTTGATCCTCAGGTAATCCTGCTTCAGCCGCTGCGTGGCCGTGGTGGGAGCCCTCTTAGCGCTGCTGCCGCTCATCTGCGCCAATTACACCACAATTAACCCAGCCTGCTAATTAACGGCGGCAACGCAGCCCGGCCAGCGCGGGGCTTCACAAAACCCGCTCTGTGGGCTGGATCTGGGACAGAAACTGAATTATTTGGGTTCTTACAGAGCAACAATCATGGAAAATCTCAATAATTAAATCCCTTGGGATCTTAACATAAATTATTTTATCTATGCAAATTAATTTAGTCATACAAGTTAATTTATATATCAAAAAAGGGGGGGTAAAAGCAGGGGGAAGGACTAAAACAGAAAGGAGAAAAAGAGAAAAGGAAAAAGGGAAAGAGGAAGGGAGGGAATGAAAGGGAGAGGAGAAAAGGAGAAAACAAGGGGGAAGAACAAGGGGGAAATGGAGAAAAAAGGGGGAAAGGAGAAAGAAAGGGGGGGAAAGAGAGAGGTAAAGAGGAAGGGGCTGGAAGGAAAAGGGGAAAGAGGGAAAAGGAAAGGAGGGACTCGAAGGAGAGGGGGAGAGGGAGGCAGCCAAGGAAAGGAAGGACTGAACGGTGGAAAAGGGAGGGAAGAAAAAAGAGGGAAAAACGGAGGGAGAAGAAGAACGGCAGAGAGGAGGAGGGGAGACAGGAAGGCAGCCCAGGAAAGGGAGGACTGAAAGGCAGAAGGTGGAAAAGGGAGGGAGGGAAGAAAATGGAAAAACGTTGGGAAAAACAGAACGGCAGACACGATTGGGAGCCAGGAAGGCAGCCGAAGAAAGGAAGGACTGAAAGGCGGAAAAGGGAGGGATGGAAGAGAGAAAAACGGACAGAGAAAGAGAACGGCAGAGAAGAGGAGGGGGATAACAGGAAGACAGCTCCGGAAAGGAAGGACTGAAAGAGAGAAGGGAAAGGGAGGGAATAGGAGGGAAAAACGGAGGGACAAGCAGAAGGGCAGAAGGAGGAGAGGCAGGAAGGCAGCCGAGGAAAGGAAGGACTGAAAGAGAGAGGGGAAAGGTGGGAAAGGGAGGGAGGGAGGGAAGAAGAGCGAAAACAGAGAAAGAAGCGGAAGGGCAGAGAGGAGCTGCGGGAGCCGCGGAGGCAGCCCGCCCGTCCCCCCCGCTCACCTCTCCGCGGCCGCCGGGCCCCGGGCGGCCCCTCCCGGACCGGGGACAGGCGGGGAGCGGCGGCCGGGCCGCGGGGGCGGCGGGGAGCGGCGGCCGCGGCTCCGCGGGGCTCCGTCAGGCCCCGCACGGCTCTGCCAAGATGGCGGCGCGGGCGGCGCTTCCGGGGCCGCTTCCGCTTCCGGGGCCGCTTCGCTTCCGCTTCCGGGGAGGCGCGGCGGAGCGTGAGGGGAGCCGGGCGCGGACAGGGCGCGGACAGGGCGCGGCCATGGCGCGGGCCGGGCGCGGGCCGGGCGCGGGTATGGCGCGGGCATGGCGCGGGCATGGCGCGGACAGGGCGCGGGCCGGGCGCGGGCCGGGCGCGGACATGGCGCGGGTATGGCGCGGGCCGGGCGCGGGCATGGCGCGGGCATGGCGCCGGGGCGCCACACGGCCCCGGCGGGACGGGGCGTCTGGGCACGCAGCTGAGCGAAACGGCGCTCGGGATGCAGAAACTTAAACAGAGTTAACAAGGGATAAAAGGGGCCATACCCAGCGCGGAGGTGCTTGGCAGTTTCTTAAAAGCGCGCCCTGAGCTTAGAATATTTTAAAATATGTTAATATATCTGTAATATATTATGTTAACATAATTCGTATATTTTCTATATTGCGTTAATATGTTTACGATATATTATATATTATATGTATATATTATATATATACATATATATATGTATACATATATACATATATACATATATACATATATACATATATACATATATATATATGTATATATATTATGTATATATTATATTAAAGAATCTAATTTGTATTCCAGGGAGCCGTGGCGGAGGGGAGCCGAGGGCTGCGTTCTCCATATATATGACATATATATGTATATATGTCATATATGACATGTATATGACATAACGCGACCAAAGGCCCAGCGGGAAAGGTGATCCTGGGAGAAACAGGGCTCAGAATGTAAAGAACAGTTTTTAATCGGGATGAAAGGGGCGATACCCATCGCTGAGGTGCTTGGCAATTTGTAAAAGTACGCCCTGAGCTTAAAATAATTTAAAAAATATTTTTATTGTATTGTGTTAATAAATTTAATACATTTTAAATATATTTTTGATGTATGTAAATTATATAAGTCTATCTAAAACTATATAAGAAGTATATGCAAATATATATACTATACTGTATCTTATATTGACTATATACTATAGATGCAACATATATATTTTTTACACAAAGATATATTTACATCTACTTTTAATATAATTTTACATGGGTTAAATGCATTTTTATGAGAATCTATAGATATTCATCATTCTTGTGAGTTTAAATAATATAAATATATAAAGGGATCTAGTGTAAAAAATCACTGTGGGTTTCAATAAAATATAAAATATATAAAGGACATAATATAAAAATAATTTGGGGTTTGAGGTTCCAAACATTCCCTTCAGGAGGAACTCCTGGAAAAACTGGGAGCCAAAATATTTGGAATTTTCCCTTGGAAAGCACAAAATAACCCAAAATTCCAGCTGAGATCCCATAACTATCTTATATCCCTGAAGGATACCTCATAAAAACTCCTTTTTACTGAGGAAAATCCAATAAAACCTAATTTTTTAACAAGGAATAACCCAAAAAACCTACTTTTTAACAAAAAATATCTCAAAACCCTCTTTTTTAAGGAGGAATATCCACTAAAAACTCCTTTTTACTGAGGATTATCCCAAAACCCTCATTTTTAAGGAGGAATATGCCCTAAAATCTCATTTTTAAGCAGGAATATCCCAAAAAGACTCATTTTTACTCAGGAGTATCTCCAAAAAAAATCTCATTTTTAACGAGGACTATCCCATTAAAACTCATTTTTAGTGAGGAGCATCCCCAAAAAAACCTGCTTTTTAATGAGGAATATTCCACAAAAACCTAATTTCTAATGAGGAATAGCTCAAAAAACCTATTTTTAAACAATGAATGCGCCAGAAAATCTAATTTTTAATGAGGAATATCCATTAAAACTTCATTTTTAAGGAGGGTGGAGCCATGGAGGGGAGGTGACCTCACCGGGGTGCTGCACAAACAGCAATTAACAACTTAATTAATGCTTTCATTAAGGATTAACCCCTGACATCAGAGCTGCCTGGCAGGTGAAGCACCAGGGGTGCAGAAAAATTATTTTTTTATTTCTATTGTTTATGTTTATGGGAATTAAATGGGATTTTTAATGTAGAAAATGGGTTTTTAATGTAAAAAATTACGTAATATGTAATATAATGTAATATAACATGATATTACATTATAATAGTAATAATATAATGTTATATCATATCATATTAATAAATATTAATATTTAATTACAACCCTGCAACCCCACAGGACTTTCTCAGGGTTTTATCTCCACAATTTCTGCATTTTAAACAAAAAAACAACAACAACGACAACAAAAACAAATCACATTTTTAAGCACCGAAGGAATTTTTTCCCCCCATTCTCTCCCACTTCAGCATCCACAGAAATCACCCAACAGATCCAGGATATTTTCTGAGCGATTCCGGGTTCTTTTGTCCCGATTTTCCAGGAAAAATGAATTCCTGGAGGGAATTTTAAAGGGATTTTTCCACTGTGAGGCAACAGGAGAAGAATTTTTCCCTCTGGTGCCTGCTCCTTGTGCAATAATTGCAATAATTGTTGCATTTTTCCCTTGCGCAACGTGGGGTGAGGAGAGACACGAACACAAAGTTCCTGGTGCCAGGAGCTTTTTAATGAGATTTTAGTTAATTAACTCTTCACCTGCCTCTGCTGCAGCTCTTCGTTCAGGTGGGTTTCTTTTTTCATTAAAAATTAAAACGGTTAAAAGATCAGAAAATTAAAATTTTTTAATTAGGAATTTCTAAAATAATGTTGGGGGTTTTTAAAAATTTAATTTAAATCAGGTTTCAGGTATGTTTTGTGAAATGTCAATATTTTAATATCAAAGCTGGTTAATAGGGATTGTGTATTTTAAATATTTTTAAAAGTTAAAAATTATTTTAAGGAGGAAAATCCCCAAAAAACCCTCATTTTCAATGAGGAATATCCCAAACCCCCTCAATTTAATGAGTAATATCAAAAAAAAAACCCCTCTTTTTTACTGAGGAACATCCCAAAACATCTCAATTAAAAAATTTCCATGTGTCTTGGGGTTTCCAGAAAAAAAATCCAGCATAAATCAAGTGTAAAAAGGATTAAAATCAGTCAAAATCAGGGGAGTTTATTTCCCTCCACCTTTGTCCTTTCTCCCATCTTTCTGAACCAAATTTCACAAGAAATTTCAATTTTTTTTTTTTTTTTTTTTTTTAAACACTGATATTTCACAGCTTCCAGTGGGAAAAAAAAATCCAATTTGGAAAGGTAGGTTCTAAATTTATCTGGATCCCAAATATTTCTATTTTCACCTTAAAAAAAAAAAAAATCCTGCAGCACTGTTTTTTACATGGGAAAGGATCAGAAATAATCCTGGAAGTTCTCCCAGGTGCCCCAAATCCGTTTTTCCATAATTTCTGCTGCTCTTTAACTGAACCACGGCCCCAAAACCGGATTTGAATGGGGTTGGTCTGGTTCTGTTTCCATCTCGGCACCTGCATCTGGGATTGGGATTGGAATTGGGATAGGGATTTGGAATTGGATTGGGGATGGGGATGGGACTGGAATTGGGACTGGAATTGGATTTGGGATGGGATTGGAATTGGAGCTGGGATTGGGGATGGGATTGGAACTGGAACTGGGATGGGATTGGGATAGGATTGGGATTGGGGTTGGATATTCTTGGAGAAGCAGGAGGAAATCCATGCTGATTCCGCCGAGGAATGTAATTCCTCGAGGCTTGATGGCTTCAATTCCCTGGGATCCTGCCAGGCTCTAGAAAACAAGGAAAGAAGGCAGAAAGGTCCTCCATAAATGGGAAAATCCAGAGCAGGAAGAACAAAAATGGGAAGATCCTGCGTGGGAAGGACAAAAATGGGAAAAACCAGAGTGGAAAGGATAAAGATCCTCCTTAGGTGGGAAAATCCAGGGCAGGAACAATAAAGATGGAAAAATCCAGAGTGGGAAGAATGAATATCCTCCCTAGGTGGGAAAATCCAGGGCAGGAACAATAAAGATGGAAAAATCCAGAGTGGGAAGAATGAAGATCCTCCCTAGGTGGGAAAATCCAGAGTGGCATGAACAAAGATGGGAAAATCTAGGCCAGGAAGAACAAAGATGGGAAAATCCAGAACAGGAACAAACAAAATTTGGAAAATCCAGAGTGGGAAGAATGAAGAGCCTCCCTAGATGGGAAAATCCAGAATAGAAAGAACAAAGATGGGAAAGTCCAGAGCAGGAAGAACAAAACAGGAAAAATCCAGAGTAGGAAGGACTAAGATCCTCCGTTGGTGGGAAAATCCAGAGCAGGAACAACAAAGACTGAAAAATCCAGAGTGGGAAGATCAGAAACGGAAGATCCAGAGCAGGAAGCACATTCTGGAACGCGTGGTTATTTCCCAAAAATGATGAGTGATCACCAGGGGTGGAACAAAGCCCCAGGGCCAAGCCAGCAGCGCTGGGACCCAGCCGCGCGCCGGCGTGCCCTCCCCGCTACCCGCCTGGCCAGCTGATTCACTTCCTATTGCTATTCCCTGGGTCGAGCTTCGGGCGCTGCCGTGAGCTCTCCTCCAGCCCTGCCCCTCTGGATGTGGGAATTCCCTCCGGAAAGGCTGGACAGCCCTGCGCTCCCCAAGCGCCGCTCGGCCGTAGCCCAAGGCTGCCTGGGGTGTTCTCCCAACGCCCCGAGCTCCTGCCGAGGTACAGTGCCTGTCACTTGCTTAACGTTTGATTTATTTAATGTGTGGGTTTATATTTGTAATATATATATATTGTAAGATCTATTTATATATATTTATATTTGTTACTTTTATAATATAAAATATATATAATTTAAAATATATACATAAACAGCACTTGGGTTGTGCTGTTTCTTCAGATTGTTTCTGAGTTATTTTGCTTTGTTAAATGGGTTTTTTTTTCATTCTTTTAATTTGAACAAAGCAGATTTAAGCAGGGTGAATTCACCATAAATTTAAAATCCCACTCAGAATGGCTGAAAACTGAATTATCTGGGGGTTTTAAGAGTCAAAATTAGAGATTAAATCTGTGTTTGATAAATTCTTTAAGCATTCATTTTGGGTAATTTTTGCCTTTTATTTCACATTTCCTCCTGAGCAAGGGGTGGATTCTTTCAGCATTGATGTTGGATAATTATTTTTTTTTATTCCATGTTTCCTCATGGCTAAAAACTCAAAGTTTAAATTTCATTAAATTAAATTAATTTCATTCATTTCTTCATCACAGAACCTCTCCCAAGAATCCTTCAGCTGCTCTGCTCTGCTCAGTTTCAACCTCTATCCCTGTATTTTAAATTTTTTATTTTACTATTATTTTTTATTTTATTAATTTATTATTTTATGAGAAAGTTTATTATTTTTATTATTTTTATTAATTTTTGGTTTTCATTTTTTATTATAAATTTTATTATTTTTAGAAACTTTAATTTTTTTATTTTAATCTTTTTTTAATGAGTATGTATTTTATATATTTTTATATATATATATATATATTTTTTTTTTTTTAATTTGGAGCAAAGGTTGTCCCTAAGTTTGGACTCAGTAAACTCATTTTAATAACATAATGAGCAGGTGATTCACAGGCTGCTGTCACGTTGGGAATTCTTACCACATCATTTTCAGGGCACGGAAATGTCCCGGCGTCACTCCGACGTCCCAGACTGCCAGCAGAGCCATAGAGCACAGGACATGTTTTAATTACTGTCAGAAATTTAAAAAAAAAAAAAAAAAAATTTTTTTGATCATATTTCTTTTGATTTTTTTTTTGTATTTATTTTTCCATGATTATATATTTTGAATGGTTTTCAATTTGTGTTCTGCCTTTTCACTGCTGTAAAATACAAAGACTTAAATTCCTATTTATGTGGCAAAATTGCTGTTCATAACATTAATTCATATTAATAATGTATTAATATTGTAATATAATATAATTACTTATCTAATATAACACAATATAGCACAATATGACATTGTAATGTAATGTAATGTAAGGTAATGTAATGTAATGTAATGTAATGTAATGTAATAATATAATATAATATAATATAATATAATATAATATAATATAATATAATATAATATAATATAATATAATATAATATAATATAATATAAT